TAAATATCTGATATGCAGGATGTGCTTTCCGAGGTTGCGACCCACAGGTTGAGAACCGCTGCCATCTAAAGGCTCTTCTGAGAAGAAACGATTGGTCTAGAACTGGATTTGTCTGTCCCTGGGTCTCTTAGCAGAAAGATATCCTGATAATACCTTCATCTCCTTCACTTAAGTTTAAAAGCTTTCCAAAAGACAATCAGCGTTATTTTCACTCTTGGCTATATGATGATATAACTACAGAGGGTGAGCCTGAAATCTGCTCTGGACATCAACTACACACTGGTTTTCTCAGTGTGTCTGTGCTGGCTTTAAGGAATTAGGAACAATACAGCCATATTCTCAACAGCAATGGGCCATAAAAACAAAAACAAAATAAAACAGAACTTGTCTTTGACTTTATTCTTTGAGAACAGGGGCTGTGTCTGGAAATTAACACCCTTGATGGTGTCTCAGTTTTCGGCTGTATACTGAGAATGGCCCCAGGACACTGACGCCAGGGTCCCACAGTTCTGACGTCCTGTCTGGGATAGAATGGAGTAGCTGCTGGCAACTTTTAGGCTAAACAGTTAGTCAAGGTCTAAAACGCAGTCTGTTCTCACCATCCACGGTGGTCGCAGGCACACTAAACTAGCAAATACTGAACTTTGCTCCCAGGAGAAATACAGGGCTGGGTTCACACCAGCCTCTGGTCAGCATTTTCAACCAGAAGGCCATCTGCATCACCTGCCAAGGTCCTTATCAAATAAGCTGGTCTCATCCTTAGCAACATGCTCGCCCCACGTCTCTTCTGCCCAGCACTGAGCCAGAATTTTACAATTCTTCCACAGTCTCCGGACTGCACAGCCTGCCTGCAAAGTCAACACTTCTCACACCTCAGGGCCTTCGTGAAAACTGCAGCCAAGAGCATCGGATGAGAAGGGTTTGATGTTTTCCTGACCCTGGGCAATGGGAACATAAATTTCTTCAGTTTTCGGCTTCACAGCAACGCTGCCCACCACTTTTTGAAACTGGCTGACGTCTCATAAATCCAGGAATATAGTAGCTGCTTTCCCATCTTTCCCCTGCTTCATGACACACTGCAGAAGTTATTCTACACTCCTCGGGGCAGCTTGACACACACCGTCACACTGCCTGCTCCTTTCTCTGGGTGCTCCACACTGTTGATTCAGTAACACTGAACTCGTGCTCACAGCTCCACCGCTCACACTGACTGGGGCTCCCCCAACACACGACCTCTCACACTGACGGGGGCTCCCCTAACACACGACCTCGCACACTGATGGGGGCTCCCCCTAACACACGACCGCTCACACTGACGGGGGCTCCCCTAACACACGACCGCTCACACTGATGGGGGCTCCCCCTAACACACGACCGCTCACACTGATGGGGGCTCCCCAACACACAAGACCGCTCACACCAACGGGGGCTCCCCCAACACATGACCTCTCACACTGACAGGGGCTCCCCTAACACACAAATGCTCACACCAATGGGGGCTCCCCTAATACACAAATGCTCACACTGACGGGGGCTCCCCTAACACACGACCCCTCACACTGACGGGGGCTCCCCTAACACACGTATCTTCCCCGTCAGGTGTGCCAGAGCCTTCCTGTGCTGAGGGTTAGTATAGCACTTCAGCACTGTGCTCAGGGCCATTTTTAACAAGGGAATCGCCAAAAGCTAAATAGACGGTGAGAAAGACATGTGGCTCGAGCACGAGAACCGAACAGAGAGGTAGAGTATCTGTCTGACCTCAGTTGGGGACATACGTGCAGGACGACTGAACTTTTTCACTCCTCTGTCCACATCCAAAAATGACTGCCAAGTGCTGGGAGTGCTGATTTCAGGGGTACAAATGAATGTTAGCAAGTTGGTGAATTCACAAATACGCAACCCGTCCACAATGAGGATCGATGAACGGTGCACGCTGGGGGCTCCGCAGGCAGCTGACTGAGCTATTTCTAGCAACAGCAAGTGTAACTAAAGGCTTTGTGATTAAATCCTTTGTTAACAAAAGCAAAATACACTACATGTGATAATTTGATAAGGCTTATTTGGACAAAGCTGGCACTGTTTAATTAATCTCCTTTACAAATTTCTCTCTTCAGAGCAAACAATGAACTCACAAATAAGCCATATACTAATGTCCCTTCAGTGAGTGCAGGGCTGGCATCCGTAAGTTGATATGCTACCCTCAGTGGGACACTCCCTCCGAGCAGGAGCACACACTGTTTCTTCCACTCTGCCCGCCTGTCAAGACATCTCTCTATTCAGGAGAGCCGGGAGATGACACAGGGTCCTAATTGATGACCACAGCAAGCAATTTACACTGACCATCTGATCAGCTCTCTCCAACCTGAGGACTGTGGGTAGGAAGAGTCTATACGCTGACCTGACCACAGCTAGTCTGTCCTGACACGAGGCCTCCAAGCAGGTCAGGCTGCTGAGAGAGAGCAGCGTGGCCCCTGGGTACATGCCCACACATTCAAAAAGCATTTGCTGTCTGGGACAATCATCCAGTGCTCCGACTCGTCTTTTCTCTGTCATCCCATTTTTGACTTTGTTTAAGAGATTAATTTTTCTTTTCTTTCCTTTTTCTTTTTTGAGACAGAATCATACTCTGTAGCCCTGGGTAGAGTGCTGTGGCGCCACAGCTCACAGCAACCTCACATTCCTGGGCTCAAGTGATCCTCTTGTCTCAGTCTCCTGAGTAGCTAGGACTACAGGCACCAGCCACCACGCCCAGCTAATTTTTCTATTTTTAGTAGAGACGGGGTCTTATTCTTGCTCAGGCTGGTTTTAAACTCCTAAGCTCAAGCAATCCACTTGCCTTGGCCTCCCCAAGTGCCAGAATTACAGGCATGAGCCACCACGCTTGGCCTGAGATTAACTTTTCTTAAATGCTATTCTTCCTCAGAGATTACAGAACACTGAGAAGAGATACTTTTCATAAATGCCAGCCAGTGAATCATTAAAAACCCTTCCCTACAGTCAGGCGTGGTGTGTAACGCCTGTAATTCCAGAACTCTGGGAGGCCAAGACAGGTAGATTTAGTGAGCTCAGGAGTTCAAGACCAGCCTAAGCAAGAGTGAGATCCCCCCCATCTCTACTGAAAATAGAAAAACTAGCCAGGTGTTGTGGCAGGTGCTTGTAGCCCCAGCACCTGGGAAGGCTGAGGTAGGAGGATCACTTGAACGCAAGAGTTTGAGGTTTCTGCGAGCTATGACACCAGGGCACTCTACTCAGGGTGACAGGGTGAGACTCTCTCAACAACAAAAACAAACAAAAAGCCAGCCCTTCCCCTGTGCTGGCTCCTTCGGCACCCTACTCACGCCTGCTCCACTTCACTTACTCTCGAGCTCACTGATGAGTTGATTATTGTGCAGCTTGACGGCCCGGTGCTGTTCCACCTGGTCTTCCAACTCGAATATGGTTTCTTTCATGTCTTTTATCTCCGCATCACTCTCTGATGCTTTCTCTTGCAGCTTCAGGCTGGTTCTGCTCAGCTGTTCTGCTTGATGATCACATATCTCCTTCAGGTAAGAATAATCCTTCTCCATCTAAAATAAAAGGAAGGTTCCCTGGTCAGTTTAGTAAGAAAGGTCCCCACAGGCTCGGCGTCCGTAGCACAGTGGTTACAGTGCCAGACACATGCACCAAGTCTGGTGGGGTCGAACCTGGCCTGGGCCAGCTGAACAACAATGACAACTGCAACAAAAGTTGCCGGTGTTGTGGTGGGAGCCTGTAGTCCCAGCTACTTGGGAGGCTGAGGCAAGAGAATCACTTAAGCCCAAGAGTTTGAAGTTGCAGTGAGCTGTGATGGGATAGCACTCTATGGAGGGTGACACAGTGAGACTAACTAAAAAAAAAAGAAAGAAAAAAGAAAAAGAAAGGTCCCTACAAAGCAGCACTAGGCTTTGTGGCATAGGATGCCCTCGGCGGGTGCTGGTTCTCACATTCTTAGCCTCATGATGTACGTTCCAAGTGTCTGGTTTCTGTGCCCCATCCTACAAGTAGACACCAAAGCCCTGACTTTCCGCAGCTGTGGGGCAGGATGTGGCCCAGCCCAGCGCCACCTGCTCTGGCCGCCAGGCTGACATCTGCGGTGGCGCGGCGCCCTCTACTGGTCATCCGTGAGCAGCGCCCTGACACCCGCACGCATGACGGTGTCTCTGCAGGGGAACACACACGAAGTGGCGGAGAAGGTGACAGAGAATACCAGAGGAAGGCACACATCAAGAAATTCCCATTTGCGGGAAACAGACTAGTGGCAAGCACCCCACATAATAAGATAACCATGCACCCAAACAGATTTACCAGGAGTTAAATTTTGCAATCTATGTGAAATGGTTTTGCTTTTAACAAGTTTTGTTAAAGACTCAGGCTTCCCTCCCGCTGCAAAGATTAATAAGCATTATCATAAAATCGGCATGTGGTCATTCCTTCAATGTTGTTGCACTTTTACGACATAGGTATGTGTCTGTGATTATAATATACATTATTGTTCTGGATGTTTCAAAACTTCACACACTATTCTACACTGTATCATGCTTTTGCAGTGTCCTAGGTTATGCTGCGTGGGATCACAGGGTGTTATGCCTCGTCATCTATGAGGTTGTGCTAATCATGCCTTTGCAACTTGTTTTTAGCTGTTTCTGAGCGTTCTCTTTACTGACACACGCCGTGCTAGGTCGTTACATTGCTGCATATTTCACTATGTGAATATGTTAATCATTTTACTATGAAAATGCTTTAATCATTGCCCTTGTCTTCAGTCCTTTAATTAACATTACTAAACATCTGTATATTTACCAGGTAATCTACACCTAGTGGCTTTCTAGATTTGGGGGATGGTCTTCACATGCAATAAATAATTTGTTTCCAATTGCATTTTACGTGCAAAACTCTGGCTGTAGGCTCCACGGGCACAGGGACCTTGCCTGCTTTACTGGCCACTGTACCCCCAGTGTCTACACAGTGTCAGTCACACGGGAGGCACTTAACGATGGGTGGATGCACAAATGAACAAACACCTCAAGGCAGTCCTGCAGGGCCATTCAACTGGGAAGGAAGGAGGGAAACAGAACTGGAATAGCAAAGACCCAGGGCACACTGCCTGTATTACAGGCAAGCGCTGTTCTGTGAACTGTGCGTGGCTCTGGATGGCAAAATAACATACATCATCACAGACTGTGGGCCAGGGTTGGAAAGCTGCTATAACATATCAAAATGGTTAAGATGCATTCTCCCAGGCAGACTGCCAGGGCATAAATCCCAGTTCTACCAAATCTTTCAGCCTCGGTTTTCTCAGTTAAATGAAATAATACACTTAAGAGATTATCCCAGGGCCTGGCACATAGTAAATACTCAATAAAAATCTTTCTCTCCCTTATCTTGCCTTAGGATTATGTATACAATGCAGTAGAACCTCCATAAGTTGACCACCAAGGGACTGTAACCACCTGGTCAACACACGGAGGTGGTCAGCACAAGGAGCCAGGGGGGCTGTGCTGCTGTGTGTACATGGTGCATGTCCGGTCTATGAAAATCAGGTCAACCAAGGAGGTGGCCCACCGTGGAGCTTTTACTGTAGGTCCATTTGACCAAGAAAATCACAATATTGGAAAAGACCAAAAGTCTTATATCTTAACCACATAAAGTAATTAAAGAGGAGATGACTTTTAAGGAGAAAAGCAGCACTGCGTTTTAGACACTAGAAGGCTGATGTCTGAGGCCTTTGCAGAGCAGAATGGAAGGCAGCTTTTGAGTCTTGTTCCAGCTGCTTGAGAGGCTGAGGCAAGATCATCGCTTGAGCCCAAGAATTTGAGGTTACTGTGAGCTATGATGCCACAGCACTTTACCAAGGGTGATAAAGTGAGACTCTTGTCTCAAAAAAAGAAAAGAAAATTGCTTGCACCCAGGAATTTAAGGTTGCTGTGAACTATGATGCCACAGCACTCTATCCAGGGTGACAGAGTAAGACTGTCTCAAAAAAAAGAAAAGAAAGAAAGAAAAGAAACAGCATCTGTGGAACTGAGTTATAAATGAACTTCCTAGGCCTGCTACTGCCTCCTGGGAAGAGGGGAACAAAGGCAGGTCCTTATGACGGCAGAAGCCCTAGGAACGAGGCTGAGTCTTAGCAAGCGTCATCACCCCACTTGTGAGACACTGAACTTGGGGAAAAGTCCAGTTCCTTGGGAAACACCTCAGGAGGTGTGCATGCAAGAAGCTGACTGAGGGCTGCTGGGGGACCCACACGTGCAAAAGAATGAAGGATGCATCAGCAAACTGCAAGGCTGTCACCACAAAAGCCCGGTCAGGCCACAGGGAGCTCCACATCCAGGACAACCTTTGGCACTGGCTCCAAGCAGAAGCAAGGGCCAGGCCTTTATTCTACCCAAGAGATTAGCCACCAGATGTGGCCACTGGGAAAGAAGGAGGCAGGCCCTGGGCAAGGCAGCTTTCCACAGAGGGCAAGACTTGGGTTGGGGGGTCTCCAGCCGGGCACAGTCAGGGATACTGCTCCCCAGCATCTGGGGAGGGAGACAGTGCTTCATCCCAGGGTGCAAGGCTGGGGTGCACCCTACCATCTTGATTCACTTCTCAGGGTGGACCCTGGTCCTAACAGTGTGGCCACTAGATTCCACCAAACTGAGTAAAGAGCTCTGCCAGCTGCACAGATGGACACATGTACAAAGGAAATAAATAAAGAAGAACCAAGGCCTCATCCCACACAAACAGCCCTGACAACAGAGAAGGTTTATAGTTAACCTGGCAATGTTGTC